TGAAAAATTTTTTAACAGCAAAATGTTTCACAGATGCTCAAGTTTGAAAGTTCAAGGCCAGCCTGGTCTATGTAGTGAGAGACTGTCTCAAAAAAAAAAAATCCTCAGATCTATATAAGATAAAAACAAATGTTCCTCATCTATTATCTTAGATTCTAGAAAATTATTATGTAATTGTAATCAATATTTTAAAAGCAGAAGGCTCTGAACTAGAAATAGTAGCCGTCATTTGAAACTGATCAATAGACAAGGCTAGAGAGAATTGTATATTACAAAACAGAAAACAGAATTCATCTTATAGCCACTGAAAACTGAACCAGAGAGCATCATAAGGATGTTTTCTTAAAATTTTTAAGAAAGATGCATAGTAAAATTTGGTATTTTATTGATCCCAAGTAAAAAAAGAACAAACCATCTTGAAAGAATCTTTTTTTTTTTTTTTTTGGGTCCGGTCATGGGGCCTGAACTCTGGGCCTGGGCGCTGTCCCTCAGCTCTTCAGCTCAAGGCTAGCGCTCTACCACTGGAGCCACAGCACCACTTCCGGCTTTTTCTGTTTATGTGGTGCTGAGGAATTGAACCCAGGGCCTCATGCTTGCAAGGCATGCACTCTACCGCTGAGCTACCTTCCCAGCCCCATCTTGAAAGAATCTTGAGTACTAATTCTTAAAGAATCGAATTGTGGGGCCAGGTGTGATGGTACACATCAGTAATCCCAGCTACTTGAGAGGGAGAGATGGGAGGATTACTGTCAGCAAAAGTGTGAGACTCTCTGAAAAATAAACTGAAAGCATGGCTGGAGGCCTTGAATTCAATCCCTAGTACCACCAGAAAGGGAAGGGAGAGGGGGAAGGACAAAGGGAATGACAAAAGGAGGAAGAAGATAGTAAAAGGGGAAGGACAAAGGAAAGGAAAGGAAGAATTCATTAGTAAGTATGTAATGAATGGAGTGAATCTCAAAATTGTTTTATAGTCTTACCATTTCATATAAAGAAAAAATATAAGGTGCTTATAAAAGATCAATGACTATATTAAGAAAAGGGAAAAAATGAGGCAAAGGAAGATATTTGATATATGCTAAAGAGATTTTTTTAAGATAAAGAAATGATACTTTAAGAAAAGAATTACTAATATAAGGCACAGAATTTAGATTGTTTTTAACAATTAAAGATGGGTACGTTTGGTTTAACTGAAAATGAAAAACTTTTAACTTTTTTTGTTTTTTTTTTTAAAGATAATGGTTATTATCTACCATACTATAAGAGAGAAAGAAACAAACGGAGCACACAAATCACGGTTAGATTCTTCGACAACCCAAATTATGGCAAGAACATTCGTAAAAAGGATCCTGTTCTTCTCTTACACTGGTGGAAGGAAATCGTTGGAACTATTCTGTTTTGTATCGTAGCCACAACTTTTATTGTGCGCAGACTTTTCCACCCTCAGCCTCACAGAGTAAGACATGTTTTTTTATTTTTATTTTTATTTTATTTTTTGTCAGTTGTGGGACTTGCATTCAAGGCCTGGGCTCTATCCCTGAGCCTCTTTGTGCTCAAGGCTATTGCTCTACCACTTGAGACACATTTCCACTTAAGGTTTTTGAGTGATTTATTTGGAGACAAGAGTGTCACAGCAACTTTTCTGCTCAGGCTGGCTTTGATCCCCCAATCCTCAGATCTCAGCATCCTGAGTAGCTAGGATTACAGTTGTGAGCCACCAGCGCCCAGCAGACATGTTCTTTTATAATCAAATATATTTTAAAGCATTTGAAATACAGAGAACTATGTTATTATATAGGGAAAAGGGTAAATGTACTTAAGTTTTATTGTAAAATCATTGCTGCTTGTAGAGTGGTACATCACTTAGTGATGAGACTGTGCTGAGAAATACATCAGACAGTAGAAAACATTGCAGAAAGGAATATAATTCCAGGATGTAAAGGACATAATTCCATTAGATGATATTGCTCATTGTTCCTAGGCTTCAAAATTATATAGCATATACCTCCACTTTGTAATATCATAGGCAATTGCAACCCAATGGTAAGTATTTGTGTTTCTAGACATGGGAAAAGACCCAATAAAAATATAGGAATTTTTTAGCTATATTATAATCTAGCAGGACCAATGTCATATATGAGGTCTGTTGATGATTGAGCTGTCTCTCATACCTGTTTCTTCACTTCCAATCACTTCTCAACCCACCACAGTCTGGTTTCCATCCCTACCATTCCATGGAAGCAGCTCTTGCCAAAGTTTTAGATGGCCTTGTTCCATGTCATAAACACTTCCCCATCATCTAATGAAACCCCTCTGTATTTGATAATATCAAACACTTTGACTTTTCTTGCCTGGCTTCCTTGGCTCTATGCTTTCCTGGTCACATCAGTTATACCTCAGGACACAAATTATTGTTCATTCTACAAAATTGCCCCTATTTTCCCAGCTCCAGTCATCTTATAAACTCTAATTTATTTTTTTTAATTTTTTGGTTGTGGGGTTTGCATTCAGGACCTGGAAGCTGTCCATCAGCTCTTTTACTTAAGGCTAGCACACCACTTTGAGCCACAGCTCCACCTTCAGTTTTCTGGTGGTTAATTGGAGGTAAGAGTCTCACAGGGACTTTTCAGCCCAGGTTGGCTTTGAACCATGATCCTCAGATCTCAACCTCCTGAGTAGCTAGGATTACAGGCATGAGCCACCAGCGCCTGACTCCAGATCATGTTCTTTGTCAACTGTCTAGTAGGAGCTATACAAATAGTGCAAATCAACAATGTATCATACTGTTCTCATCCCTAACCTAGTCCTCTATCATTTTTCTCTGAGTGGATTGTTCCATTATATTCCATCATCTAGCCAAAAATCATTCTCTCCCTCACCCTTCATCAATTGTGTCGTTTTTCTCCAATCTTCAGATACACTGTCTTCTCCACATCCCAGTTTCTATTTTTTTGATATAAGCATCATACCTCTTCTGAATTATTCAAATAGTCTCTACCTGGTCCCCATGCCCTTAGTCCTCTCCATCTGCATTTCCTGACTTCAAAACCTCTAATTACTAATTCCTTATTGTTTAAATAAAGTCTAACCTTTTAGAACCATTCAATGTTCTGAATGATCATACCTTGCCTGCTTTATCTTCATCTCTCACCATACCCTGATCCCTTCCTCCCCTCTCTCCCACGCACAGTGCCATATTGAACTTGTTTCAGTCCTTCTTGAAATCATGCTCTCCCCAAGCCCAACAGTGCTCATCCTCTGAACTCCTCTCCCTTCTCTTTTACATTATTACCTATCATCTTTAAGTTTGAAATTAGTTGTCATATTTCTGAGAAGTCTTCTTTAGCCTCCTTACTCTGAGTTAGATTCTCTTCCCTGTCTTCTCCATACTAAAGTAATAAACACTTATTTGATAAGTAATTCCTAATTTCTCTGTCTATAGGCAGAGAGCAAAAGGACAGGGAGTGGTCTGTTTGCCTTAATCTTCCCAGCATCTGGCATATAACCAGATTGTTGTAAAGATTTGCTGAAAGAATCACTTACTGAATCAGTGAACCACAGTACCCTGCCCTGACCATAGTAACTATTAACATCCTCTGAAAAATCATAGGAAATACTAGTGAAGAGGCTACTAAATTCAGTGTCTTGTTGTTGGCAATATTTTTAAATCATCTATAGAGTCTTGAGAAATAAAGTAATCAAGTCTTGCCCAGAAGTCTGCATTCATACTTACATGTGTACACTATCCTTTTTATCTAGTTATGTATTAGACCCTACACCAACATACCCACATTACAAAGAAACAAAATCCCCTCAATGTAGTGGCAATGGGAAGATAAACTTTTTTCTTTATTAAAGAGAGATGATGTATTTTGTGTTCTTCTAATGCTCTTTATTTTTCTCAATACTACTTACTTTTCAATGTTATAACCTCAGATGGTTAGGTCAGCTTTGTTCTGGTAGTGAGTTTATTTTTTCTCTTGTCAGCAAAGGAAGGAGTCTGAAACTCAGTGTCAAACTGAAAATAAATATGATTCTGTAAGTGGCGAAGGCAGTGACAGTAGCTGGAATGATCTGAAAAACTCAGGATATGTATCACGGTAAGAGTTTTATGAAACATCTCTACAAGTTATAGGTTCTGATGGCAAGCATTTAAATCATGAAGAGACCTCTAAACTAACATTTTTTAAATTGTTATTTATGTGTACCTAAGCAAATAGAACTAACCCTTAAGTAACTTAAAAGTCATTTTCGGTTGGGAATGTGGCTAAGTGGTAGAGTGTTTGCCTAGCATACACGAAGCCCTAGGTTCAGTTCCCCAGTACCACATAAACAGAAAAAGCCAGAAGTGGTGCTGTAGCTCAAGTGGTAGAGTGCTAGCTTTGAGCAAAAGAAGCTCAGGGACAGTGCCCAGACCCTGAATTCAAGTCCCAAGATTTGCAATAAATAAATAAATAAAAGTAGTTTTAATCTTAAAAGGATTAAAATAAAGTGTTATTTGGGTTTAGAATCTCAATGATCAGATTAAGTTCATGTTTTTCTGTCTGTAATAGGGAGTAGATAGATAAAGGAAAATACTCATAGAACATGCCATTGTTGTTTTTTAATCACAAGGGAAATTGATCAGCTAAAGGTAAACAGTTCATGTAGTTTCAAAGTAAAATCAAAGAAGCTGTTATAGTAACTCAGGAATAAAATGTCATCTTTTATGCCATGTGGTATAGGAGATGGTGGTCTGGTTGATTTCTCAGAAGATGTATATTTTAATTGCATATTTCAGATCATTTATGTGATATGGGACTTTCAAATACCTAGAATAATAGTTTTATGACAAAAGATTTTTTTACAAATGTGTGTATTAAGATTTTCTGTTCTATCAAGCCAACTAGTGGAAAATAGTAAGAACAGTAATGAATTCCAGGAATTAAACCAAATTTACTAAGTGACAAATACTAAGGACATAAAAAGTGCCCTTGCTAATGAAGATGCTGGCTAATCTGTCAGTAGCTCTCAGTAGCAGCAGGGCAGAGGGAGGGAAAGAACAAGGGAACCAAAGAACAAGGGAACTCCCTTGACATAATCCAAAGCCAGTCATTGCTCATTCAGTGCTTTCTCTAAACAACAGTGCACGGGACAATTCTTAAAGGAAAATAATCCATGAACTAATGGTCTGAATGGGATGATTTAAAAGGCCATGATAAATGAGGTCACATTGAATTGGGTCTGAGGTGGAGGTGGATGAACATGGCATCACGGGTAACGATGCATTTCAAGGCTAATGTCAAGAGATTTACAATGCTGTAGTTTAAAATTGGAATGGGCCAGATGCTGGTGGCTCATGCCTGTAATTCTAGCTACTCAGATCTGAGGATTGTGATTCAGAGCCAGCTCAGGCAGGAAAGGCTTCAGACTCTTTTTATCTCCAAATAACCACCTGGAAGTGGAACTATGGCTCAAAGTGGTAGAGTACTAACCTTGAGCACAAATCTTAGGGACAGTGTCCAGGCCCTGAGTTCAAGGCTCACAACCAAAACAAAAGAAAAAATTGAAATGGGCTTAAATGTGTGTATGTGTATGTTGTTTTGTTTTGCAAGAGTTTTTATTTTTTTGTTTTATGTTTTATTTTTGTTTGTTTATGCCAGTCTTACAGCTTGAATTTAGGGACTAGGTGCTGTTCCTAAGCTTTTTTTTTACCCCTGAATGCTAATGCTCTACCACTTCAGCCACAGCACCATTTTGGTGGGCAATTGGAGATAAGAGTCACACAGGCTTTCCTGTCGAGGCTGACTGAACTGTAATCTCAGATTTCATCCTCCTGAATAGCTTGGACTTGCACTGAGCCACCAATGTTCAGCTTCCAGTTTTGTTTTGTTTTGTTTTTTTAAATAAAGGATTTTAATAATTTTATTTATTATTTGTACCTATGATTTCCTAGACACTATTAAGAACATGAACTATGGATTCAGTCATTAAGTCAAGTCCTAGCTTTGTCATTAATCAGCTGATGATACTAGGCAAGATGATACTTTTTTTTTTTTGTCAGTCGTGAGGCTTGCACTCTGGGCCTGGGAGCTGTCTCTGAGCTCTTCAACTCAAGGCTAGTGCTCTACCACTTTGAGCCAGAGCGCCACTTCTGGTTTTCTGGTGGTTAATTGGAGATAAGAGTCTCACAGACTCTCCTGCCCAGGCTGATTTTGAACCATGATCCTCAGATTTCAGCATTCTGAGTAGCTAAGATTACAATTGTGAGCCACCAGTGCCAGCTTGATACTTTTATATATAGGTCTATAATCATTGTATAAGATCTAATTCTTTTTAGAAGATATAATACAGAGCTGGGCACTGGTGGCTCATGTCTGTAATCCTAGCTACTCAGGAGACTGAGATCTGAGAATCCCAGTTCACAGCCAGCTCAGGCAGGAAAATCTGTGAGACTCTTACCTCCAATAAACCACCAGAAAACCGGAAGTGGCACTGTCGCTCAAGTGATAGAGTGCCACTGCCGCTCAAGTGATAGAGTGCTAGCCTTAAGCTGAAGAGCTAAGGGATAGTGTCCAGGCCTAGAGTTTAAGCCCCATGACTGACAAAAAAAAAAGATACAGGAAGATAGTTGACCCTTCAAAATGAGAATATAAACTTGATGGTCTTTTTTTGCTGTGGGAGATGGATTTGTACTGAGGTACTTTACCTGTTTTTAGGAATACTGATTATTATTTTTCATTTTCCATGAAGGTAATGGGTCCATGGAAGGTTGAGATCTATTATATCTTCTCCTGAACTCTGTTGTCTAACCAGCTGAGGCAACTACTAAATTAGCATAAGTGTTCAAGTCATAAAGCCCAAAACATATCATTGTAAGAGACACCATAGAGCATCTGATTTAATTCTCCCCCTTCCTCAGTGTGGCTGGAATAATCCATAACATACACACATGTGTACATTGATTCATATAGTTATTCAACAGACATATTTTATACCTTTGATTTGCCCAGGTTCTGAACATACAGGAGAAACCAGAATTTTTTCTTGCATTCATGGTCCCCATGATACAGTGGTAGTGAGATGAGGAAGCTACATACAAATAGCTGCAAATTAGTGAGATGAACTGAGTAGTTCAAAGTGCTAGATACACAGTAATAAGGGAACATTAAGACACAGTTCTTGGAAAGTTTTACAGGGATGATGAAAGGCCTGATGAAGAATAGGGTTTCATTAAGTGCAAAGAACAAATGGTAGGAGCAAATTTCCTGAAAATGTGAGAAAGCATGGAGCAAACTGATTGGACTCTACAGTGTAAGTCATTGAGATCAGGCACTAAAAGGAGAAACAGGTGCCATGCAGAGGTCCACAATAAGAGACAGATAGTGAGTTAGCTTCTCTCTGAATACCTTAAGTGGTCATGAGGTGCCAACATAAAAAAATACAAATACATAAATAATAAAAACCCTACATATTTAATTGGGTGTAAAATGCATGGAGACCTGGGTGCCAGTGGCTCATGCCTGTAATCCTAGCTACTCAGGAGGCTGCCATCTAAGAATCACCGTTCAAAACCAGGGTGGGCAGGAAAGTCCTTAAGACTCGTGTTTTTTGTTTTTTTGTCTGTCATGGTGCTTGAACTTAGGTCCTAGTTGGTATCCCTTGCGCTCAAGGCTAGCACTCTACCACTTTGGGCCACAGCTCTACTTCCAGTTTTCTGGTGGTTTAATTGGAGATAAGAGTCTCAAGGATTTCCCTGCCCCAAATGACTTGGAACTAGGCTACTCAGATCTCAGCCTCTTGAGTAACTAGTATTAAGGTGTGAGCCACCAGCACCTGGCTCCTTGTGACTCTTATCTCCAAAGAGCCACTAAAAAGTCAGACATGGAGCTGTGGTTCAAGTGGTAGAACACTAATGTTGAACAAAAAAGTTCAGAGGCAGGACCCTGGCCTTGATTTCAAGCCCAGAAGGGGCGCACGTGCGCACGCACACACACGTACACACACACACACACACACGTACACACACACACACACACACACACACACACACGGGAAAAAAAAAGATTAAAGAATTGCAAATATGATAAATACGATATTTAGTAGATCATGGTAAGTATTGGATAGGACAAAATCAACAGTATGATTATTATTATAAGGAGAAGTAATTGACAAGTGATTCCTAAGAAAACAAAGTTTAAAAAATTTTTAATTTATTGTTAAAAAGGTGCTATACAGAGGGATTACAATTACATGAGTCAGGTAATGAGTACATTTCCTTTCCTACAGTGTCTTCTATTCCCTCCCTCCCATCTCCACCTACGAGTTGAATAGTTCACTTTCATCAGTGTCCAATGAGCTCCACTGCTCCACTCTTTCACCCTTTCTCCTTTGACTTTATTTTCCCTGTGAAATTAAGTTTTGACAGTTTACCTTATTTATACATTTTTGTATGGCAATTTAAGATTGGACTGTATTATACCTTGTTGTACTATTTAAAACTTTGGCAAACCTTTAATTTTTTACCTATTTTTTTTAAGCTACCTAACAGATTTTGAACCAATCCAGTGCATGGGTCGTGGTGGCTTTGGAGTTGTCTTTGAAGCTAAAAACAAAGTAGATGACTGCAATTATGCTATCAAGAGGATCAGACTCCCCAATAGGTAATGGATAGTACTTTTAATATATAAAGTACTGCATGCTGTAATTATAGGGCAGTGTTCTTACTATTGTATTGCATAGCCACTAGTAGAGAAGCTAGTTCCAAGTGCTAACAAGTAATAAGTTTTCTGAAAGTTCTAATCTAGATTGTTTTGTATTTACTTAAAATAGTCTCATTTTTATTCCCAGCAACTCAAGATTTTCCATAGGAATGTATAAGTACCACAGACTTTAATAAATCACATCATGTAAAAATAATTTCTGTTTATTACAGTGTGTTAGTTGGCTTTCTGTTACTATAACAAAATTCCTGACATAAATCAACCTACATAGAAAGCTGATTTATTTTGGCTCCCAATTTCAGACATCTCAACTCATGGTCAAATGGCTTCATTGATTTGGGGCCTGTGATGGGGCAACACCTCAAGGCAAAGAATATGTGGTAGAGCAAGCCATTCACTTCATGCTGGCACATAAACAAGTGAGAGCGAGCTGGGTGCCTTGGTAGCTCACGCCTGTAATACTAGCTACTCAGGAGGCTGAGATCTGAGGATCGTGGTTCAAAGCCAGCCCGGGCAGGAAAAGTCCGTGAGACTCCTATCTCCAATAAACCACTCAAAAAAGCGGAAGTGGCGCTGTGGCTCAAGTGGTAGAGCGCTAACCTTGAGCTGAAGAGCTGAAGGACAATGCCCAGGCCCAGAGTTTAAGCCCCACGACCAACAACAAAAAGTGAGAGAGTCTCGACCCTTTGAAGGACATAGTGGCTGGTATACTTCCTGTTAGGCCTACCTCTCAGTAACACCAAGATTCCAGACCTAAACTGTATCAAAGTAAATAAGGAAAAATATTAAAGTAAAAAATTACATTGGGTGTGATGATGAGTCGCTGTAATACCAACACTCAGGAGGCTGAGGCAGGAGAAGTTTGAGACCACCTTTGTCTATATAGCAAGCTCAAAGCCAGCCTGGGCCACATAAAGACCCTATCTTAAAAAACAAAAACAGGGGCTAGGAAGGTGGCTCAGTGGTAGAGTGCTTGCCTTGCATGCCTGAGGCCCTGGGTTTGATTCCTCAGCACCACATAAGCAAAAAGAAAAAACCAGAAGTGGCGTTGTGGCTCAAGCGGTAGAGTGCTACCCTTGAGCTGAAGAGCTGAAGGACAGTGCCCAGGCCCAGAGTTCAGGCTCCACAACCAGACTCCCCCCCCCCAAAAAAAAATAGTGAGGCGCATGTATCTTTAAAAAAAAAATAGCGAGGTGCACACCTGTAATCCTAGCTACTCAGGAGGCTGAGATCTGAATATCACAGTTTTCAAAGCCAGACAGCAGGAAATTCCAGGAGACTTTCATCTCCAGTTAATCACAGAAAAAGCCAGAAGTAGTGCTGTGACGCAAGTGGTAGAGTACCAGCCTTGAGCAAAAGGAGACAAGGGACAGTGCCCAGGCCCAGAGTTCAAGCCCCAAGCCCAGCCCAAAAAAAAAAAAAAAATCCAAAAACAACAACCACAAAAATCTGGGTGCTAATGACATCCCTGTAATCCTAGCTGGAGGCTAGAGTTAGAAAAAGTTCATTTCCAGGCTAGGCTATGCAGAAATGTTCACAAGACTCCTTTTTCAATGATAGCTGGATATAGCGGTATGTACCTGTCAGCCTTGCTACAAAAAGCAGAAAATAAAAAGATATTGTTCCAGGCTGACCCAGTAGGAAGCAAGGTACTATCTCAGAAATAACCAGTGCAGGGCTGGGAAGGTGGCTCAGTGGTAGAGCGCTTGCCTTGCACACATGAGGCCCTGGGTTCGATTCCTCAGCACCACATAAGCAAAAAGTAAAAAGCTGGAAGTGGTGCTGTGGCTCAAGTGGTAGAGTGCTAGCCTTGAGCTGAAGAGCTGAGGGACAGGGCCCAGGCCCAGAGTTCAGGCCCACTACCAGATCCCCCCCCCCCAAAAAAGAAATAACCAGTGCAAAAAGGGTAGTAGAGTGCCTGCCTAGCAAGT